CAGATACGTTCGTGTACATAATATTCACCCACACTATAGAAAATCATCATATTTCAGTGACTCTAGCTGTTCATCTTCTCTCTCATCCCATGCATCAGCCTCGGCAGCAACAGAGGATGAATCCATAAACACCGCCATCATCATGTTCATGTGCTCCACGGACTGGTTGGATGCCATTCGCATGCAAGCAGACCCAGGTATGTGTTTGGACTAGTGGGGCACGTGTGAGTGCTAGTAAGATATATGTGAGTGCTAGTAAGGTATAGGTGAGTGTCAGTAAGGTATAGGTGAGTGCTAGTAAGGTATAGGTGAGTGTTCGTAAGGTATAGGTGAGTGTTAGTAAGGTATAGGTGAGTGCTAGTAAGGTATAGGTGAGTGTTAGTAATATATAGGTGCGTGCTAGTAAGGTATGGGTGATTGCTTGTAAGGTATATGTGTGTTCTAGTAATGTATGTGTGATTGCTAGTAGGGTTTAAGGTATGCGTGTGTCTTAGTACCTGCAATCTAAATTTAGGTTATGTACATCTACCTCGATTTTCCTGGTATCACTCATGGCGAAAGTACCGAACTCTTGTGCAAACCTCAGAGTTTAACGTATTCCCGAATTGCGAGTGTGTTCTGGGACCTACAGTCATTGAGCGTGATTATATTTGCATGCCGTTTGGTTAAAAAGTAAAGCTGTGTATAACTCAGTACAACAATCCATAATTCCTAGCTGCGATTGCAATCTACTACTTTATAATCGATTATGTTCTGATATTGATTACAGATAATACAACCTTAAAAAAAGTGGGATTTTTCTACTGTTTGTGATACAAAACCCCGTATATGCAAAGTTTAACGGTTAATAGTGGCTGAGTTGATATTTTTGGTTTTTTATATGTAGCAGTACTAAACATTTATTACGTAACCTATCTTAGCCGTTCTGGGTTCGTATTCCTCCACTTCTTGATCAAGTAGATACGTGCCATAAGTCTCAGCTACAGGCCCTATTTTTTCTTATTTTTTTGTCATCACAGTCATAGCCTAGACCTATTGATGAGCCGATTCTGGCCCGGTTTTCCTGTTTTGTTTTGTTTTTACTTTTATCACAAAAGTCATAGCTACAGAACTATTTTTGGGCATATTCCAGCCCTATTTCCCTTTCTTTCTAGCATCTCAGTCCTAGCCCAGGCATAATGATGGACATATGCTGACCCAATTTCCTTTTGTTTTTTATCACCATAGTCCTAGCGTAGACATAATGATGGGCATGTGCTGGCCCAGTTTCCTTTTGTTTCTTATCACCATAGTCCTAGCCTAAACATAATTATGGGCATATGCTGGCTTAGTTTCCTTTTGCTTATTATCACTATATTCCTAGCCTAGACATAATGATGGGCATTTGCTGGCTCAATTTTCTTTCTTTTCTGATCACCATAGTCCTAGCCCACGCCTCCTGATGGGCATACTATACCCCTCATTCATATGCAGAATGGACCCAAACAACCGAAGAAGTCGCCAAGACATGGGAACGCCTCTCCGAGCGATTGCACGCCCACGCGACTGCCAACAACAAAGTACAATCGGGACAGGTCAACAGACGTGTGCACGTGAACATGGCATTCGAGGCCTTCTTTGTGAGGTGCAGAGAGCGTCTCATGCGCCGGAAGGTAGGTTAAACAAACGGGTGTATGTATGATATAGATAGGTGTACTGGTTGTTTGGGTATAGTAGGCTATGTGTGTATATACTACTGGAATGTATAAACTATATATTTGTGCATACTACACAGATGTATATACTACACAAATGTATATACTACATACATGTGTTGATTACATATATGTATATTCTACATGTATATGTATATTGCATAAAAGTAAATACCACATAAAGGTATATACTACCTATGTGTATAGATTGCGTATATGTACATGCTACGAAAATTTAAATGTATAAACTACACATAAGTATATATTACATAAATGTATATATTACTTAAAAGTATATTTTACATATATGTAAATACTACATAAATGCATATACTACCTAGAAGTATATATTTCATATACGTAAATACTACATATATTTCTATACTACTTGGAAGTATATATTACATACATGTGTATACTGCATATATGTATATACTACTTAGAAGTATATTTTACATATATGTAAATACTACATATGTGTATATACTACTTAGAAGTATGTATTACATATACATAAATACTATATAAATGTATATACTAATTAAAACATATTACAAATATGTAAAACTGATTGGGTAGCCCACGATTTTTTGTATGAGTACAGACTGGCAATTTATACACCTTAAGACTTAGGGTATAGGGAGTTTGAACCTAGAACCAATTCTCGCATGAAAGCCAATAAAAAAACCAAGCTCTCACCCACCTACCATTTCCCAAGGCTGAGAATAGTCGCGTCAATTGAAACTTGCCATTTCAATGCCATTAACTTTCCAGTTAATCAACCTATAATACATCTGCACCCACCCACTATTCCCCATTCACTTTCCAACTAATCAACCTATAGTACAAATGCACTCATCCACTATCCTCCATTCACTTTCCAACTAATCAACCTATAATACATGTGCACTCACCCACTTTCCCCCATTCACTTTCCAACTAATCATCCCTTATTATATCTGCACGCAACCACTATCCCCCGTTAATATTCCAGTTGATAATATTACAATACATATGCACTCACCCACCCACCATGTTTTAGGGCTGGGGGCAGAAGCAGCGGATTGAGATGGCCGTAGCCCTGCGCCTGTGGCTGCAACTGACTGACAAGTTGCGGTACAGTCTGGGGAACACACGCGCGATTGGCAACAAAAGTGAGGGTTATTGGAAATTGGTATGCTGGATGTTATATATGATATTTTAATTTGGCAACAAAAGTGAGGGTTGTTGAAAACTGGTATACTGGATGTTATATGTGATATTTGGATTTGGTAAGAATAGTGTTGTGTTATTGGTGACTGGTATGTTGGTTGTTGTGTGTGTTATTGGAATTTGGTAAGTGACTATCAAATGTGTTTGTATGTTGGATATTCTATGTGTTATTGAAATTTGGTAAGTTGGTTGTTGTGTTATTGGAAAATGGTATATTGGATGTTAAGTGCTAATGGAATTTTGTATGTTGAGTTAGTATGTGTTAAAGGTAACTGTCAAATTGTGTATATTAATCTACATTGACTTAAAGTAGAGGATAGGTACGGATTCCCCTTCTCGTTTGTACACTATAAACTATCATTTGACCTCTACAAGGATCCAAAATGCACCACTCTAACCCATATTAGTATCTACCAGTTGGATAGATCATACAAAATGTCTTAAAGTTCAACTCAACACGCCGACCCATATATAGCAATATTAATTTTTAGTGTACCATTCACAACGACCTAAAATGCACCACCCCAGCCCATACATTGAAATTACCAATTAAATAGACAGCCCAAATTGCCTTAAAATTCAACACGCCAGCCCATATATGACGCCATAAAAAAGTATATCCCATCCAAAATGCCTCAGAACTCTACTCAACACGCCAGTCCATGTATGACACCATGGAAATGTATGTCCCATACGAAATGGCCTAAAATTCAAAATGCCCTAAAATGCAGGACACGCACGAAGACTTACTGCGTCGGCGGATGCGTATGGTGCCCAACCACGCGGGCAGTAGCCACCCCGAGGCCATTCTGAGGAAGAAAGGGGACAGCGCAGATAGACAGGCCGATGAGCATACTGGTAAGTGGGGCGGGATGGCGGGTACATGGACTTGTATGGCTTGGACGTGGGTGTGTATGTGTACCTACGTGGGTGTGTATGTGTACCTACGTGGGAGTGTATGTGTACCTACGCGGGTGTGTATGTGTACCTACGTGGGTGTGTATGTGTACCTACGTGGGAGTGTATGTGTACCTACGCGGGTGTGTATGTGTACCTATTAATTGGTAAGACGGTGTGTGTGGTGTAGAGTATTTGTTCTGGATGATTAGGATAGATGTAGATGGCGCCCATGAACGGGTCCAACAGTCGTCGAGCAGCCATTCCCACCAAGACACAGGAGGATATAAACAGGGGATCATGTTTCTGAGTGTCACAATCTGAGTATATGATCCGGCCTTACCAACTAGCTTGTTTGTGAAGAGCCGACACAGTCATATCTTTGAACGGTATGAATAGAGCATAAGACCTGTTGTGATATAGTCTCCGGACTGTGGTCTATAGGTAGATCATATTTTTTTGACCTGGAAAAGGGTCACTTGACCCTGTCTTATGAATGACAGGCGGACCGCATGTTCGAACGAACTCAAATACAACACATGAGGAGTCTGTAATACTCTCTTGCCTATGAACAACAAACCTGATTGTACCTCGGAAGAAGCCAGAAAAACACTGAATTGAGACCTGTATACACCTGTGGCCATATACATGCACAGGCGAAGACAAGTCGTACGATGCACCTAGCAGAGGACCGGTCCTGCCCAAAGGCATCAAGGTCGCGCGTGACTTTAAGGGCGTGCGATGGGGAAAGGTCGGCGATCCACAACAACAATCTACTGAGGGTATGTACTTCCGTTTATGTGCTTTAAAATGATGTTTTGAAGGTAGACATGGTGAGATAATTATATTGTCACAGGCTATGATAAAATACATTGAGAATAGCTATAGTGCCGAATTTGGGGCCAAATGTAGAACTGTGAGAGATGAAATAGTCCAAATTTTAGAATAGAGTTGTTTCCGTGACAGATGCATTTTGTATTACAGAGCCAAAATGAAATTTATGAAAGACTCGCTATTCGAAAGAATCGTGTAACCGATAACACATACACACACACACACATATTTA